CAACAACAATAATAATAATAATAATATGATAAACATAATATAATAAATTAATCGATTGATATTCATTTATTCCTATTATGAAGAGCGAAAAGGTAGGAGAATCGTCGTATTCTATCAAATGGTATGACTTGCCAACACAAATTGTAAAAGATTTAATTCTGGTGATGCTTAGATCAAATCGCCCGTCAACTTTGACAGCCGCAAAAATATTCGATCTCTCGCTTCAAGGATTCTGTGAGGTAATTGCTTATAATGTTCATCTAAAAATTGGTAGAAATATAACATTTGCTAGATACACTATGCGTTTTAGGTTTGCAAAACATCAGCGGCGTACTTTAATTTTATACGAGCTATGACTACATAAATTTTCAACTATTATCGCATCGAGTACTTATATACATATAAGAAATACTGTTATCGTCACTTTATGAGAGATTACATCTCACTTCTTACATGACGTCAGCGAAAAACAATCGCTGTCGAACAATAAATCATATTACTGACAATAATTTGAATAGTACATGTCATGTATTATAATTCCCATATATAACGTTTTCCACGATTCCGTTCTTTTCTGCGAAATAAATTTATTTAAATTGTCGGCTTTCTGAGTTATACGACTAACTTCCCAATTGCGTAATGCATATTCTTTGTTTAGAACTTTTATTGTCGTATATCATTATTTTTCCCTTTCCGAAACTTTTTCCTTTTCTCAAATTTTATAAATCGTAAGTAATAGACTGCGTGTTCTACAATCATCCTAAATTATCAAATAGAGTTTGCTTGCAAAGAACGTTTTAGTAAATAACTTACCAAGATAAAATGACCTGACGCTGTTGAAAACATTGTGGAGAAAAACTTCAGTTGAATTTAAAACTTATATAAATATATCTACGGATATCAACATTGTCTTATGTATCCCATGATATCACTTATTAAGGTTATACATATTATATTTATATATTATATACATATTATATAATGTGTACTTACATAATTTTAGAGATGTATACAGAATTGCATTCCTACCACAAAAATATTATTTGATACTATCTAATTCGAATAGTTTTAAGAATTTATTAATTTTTTAAAATAAATACATATATTATAACTAAATTTTTTTATAATAAATGATAATAAAGTTCTTATTATATCTAAAAAACTCGATATTTTTATATTTAACGCGTTAGAGAATGTCCAATTATTGTCAATTTACATCTGGCATCATCTCTCAGCATTGAACTTAAAAACGCACAGCAAATATTTCGAATTAGATTTCACTTTGTGAAGCACAGAAATGTATTCACCATTCTGAACATTGTACGCTTTTGCTTTCAACAGCTCAACGAAGCAAATCTCTGTCTTCGCAACTACCTCTTGGCAACGCCTGCGTAGAACCGTCATTGAAATAATATATATTTTTTTCCAATGAAAGTTGCGACAATTCTTAGAAGAATAGCCCTTACTGACAGTTTCTTGGGAGAGGTGAACTTTTTGCACGCAAGCGCCTACGTTAACTTGTGTGCTATCCGATCAACGATCCCTCTTCCACCACTTTGTTGTTGTCAGTCGAGAATCAAACTTTGCGAAGCGAATAATTGTAGGACAATGATCGCGAGTATGTCGCCGGTCGACGATCGCGCGCTATTCCAAAACTTCAATTACAGGTCCGATGCGGAGTACGTGTTAAGAGTCGCCAAAATCCTGTTGACGCCTATTGGCATTTGGCCACTTTACGGGGACGATTCTACAATGTATAAAATTAAATACTATCTCCAGACGAGCATCGTGTTTTGCTTAATGTGTTTTCTGCTCGTCCCGCACATCATATATACCTTCTTTGACGCGGAGGACCTGACAAGATACATGAAAGTCATAGCCGCTCAGGTGTTCAGCCTGCTAGGCATCATCAAATTCTGGACAATGATCATCAACAAAAACGACATCAAGTGCTGCCTGAAAGAGATGGAGATTCAGTATAGAGATGTGGAGAGCGAAGAGGATCGACTGGTGATGGTAAAAAACGCCAAGGTCGGCAGGCAGTTCACGATGATGTATTTGGTATTATTGTATGGTGGTGCATTACCTTATCATATAATTATGCCATTGGTGGCGGACAAAGTCGTCAAGGAGGACAACACGACTCATTTACCTCTGCCTTATCTCAGCGATTACGTCTTCTTCGTGGTGGAAGACTCACCATTCTACGAGATTCTTTTCGTTATTCAGATCGTGTTCAGCACTATGATCCTGTCTACGAACTGTGGTGTTTACAGTTTAATTGCCAGTTGTGTGATGCATGCCTGCTGCTTGTTCGAGATCGCTCGCAGACATATGGAAACATTATTGGTCGGTAGAATTGATGATCTTCATGAACGATTCAATTGGATCATCATGCATCACATGCGAGCTCTCAGGTCGGAAAAAGATTTGTCAATTTTTCAACAAATACCGTCAATAATATCAATATACATTTATAGATGTAAAAAAATCTGGATTTTATTTTTGCTAAATATTGTTCTGAAACATAAATTCTATGGCATAAATAATTTTTATTAAATTGTAGTGTAATTATTTGCGATTATTCTAATTTATAATAATTATATTTATTACATAATAATTTTTTGTTTCATAATAATATCAATTACAGGTATGTTGAAATGATCGAAAATTCATTAAATATCGTTTTTCTATCAGAGATGATTCTATGCACTATTATCATATGTTTTCTTGAATATGGAGTTCTTAAGGTACTTAAATATATATTTTTGCATAATTGAAAAGATAATTTATTTCTTAAAATTAAATTATATTTTTTTACACAAATTTCTTTCAGGAATGGGAAGACAATGAATTTTTTGGTGTGATTATATATTTTATATTAGTCACTTCAATTTTTGTAAATGTTTTTACTTTATCGACTATCGGCGATCGACTTAAAGAAGAGGTAAATTTAATAACCATTATTAAAAACGAACAATTAATTAATTTAATTAATTTAAATTGAGCTATTAATTAATTTAAGCCAAACAGTATACGATTAAATTTAATTAATTTATTTGAATAAATATTGAACTCTAGATTTATATTTAACTTTTTTTTTAATGCAATTTTCTTTTCTTAAAAGAGTGGAAAAATTGGAGAAGTATCATATTTCATTGATTGGTACACGGTACCAACGAAGAACGTGAACAGCTTAATTATGGTGATGATTAGATCAAACCGTCCGTCAACTTTGACAGCTGCTAAAATGTTCGATATCTCTCTTCAAAGTTTTTGCGACGTAAGTATAATTTCCCTCCATTGTATTAATTTGACAATTAAATATATTTTCCGATTAACATTCGCAAATATTCATAGGTATGCAAGACATCAATGGCGTATCTGAATTTTATACGAATGCTTACGAAGTAAAACGATTGTTTTCCAAATGATTATTACAAGTGCCATTCACTGAAATATTAATTTCTTATCCTGCTCAAAATATATTAACTTTTTTACCTATACTACATTATAAATATAAAATATTATATTTAATCCTTTTTATTGCTCGTATTTATCATTTAGCGACATTCATTAAGATCACATTTACGAATGAAACGACGCGCGATTAGTTAATTGCGTAATTTACTAACAATTAAAGTAACATTAGAGTCATTTCTGAGTCACTCATTATAACAATTTTATTATGCTCATAATTTAATATACCTTTACAATTATATTAATATTATATTAATTTATTTTGTATATACGCAGTAAAGTATTTAATGATATTATTATTGGTCAATATTATGATGCAAATACTTGGCCACAATTCTCCCTTTTCGCAGAAACAAACGCGCTCAAACTACAAACTACGATTTTACAATAAAATCAATTTTATTTTGAAATGGTATCCCCTCCGTTTTAAAGTTTCTCGATGCATTATAAAGTATCCCCTTGCTTTGTTCTCTACTACGCTTTTTTCTGTCACACACACACACATCAGAAGGTTCTACAAAATATAAGACACAAATGTTCGTATTTTAATCATCATAATAATTACTTAGCGGTAATAAAATTTTCTCGTAGAAGTAATTGATAAAATAAGAAGATTAATAAACATCGTGTGAAGTAATTAATTTTTTTAAAAATATATGCAATCACCTGATTTTTTATACGTAAACGATCATCTGAGGTATTTTTATACCCTAAATAAAATCATTGTGATGAACAACATACAGTATATTATTGATTGTTTCTGATTTATTATAGTATTTGGGAACATTACGAATATGGATATTTAATCACGATTTTGTGGCAAAAGTAATATTAAACAGAATAAGCATAGTATATAGTTTTGTTATGACAGTAGTTAAAAAAAATAAAGATTTTTATTAATATAACGCTTTTTTATTGTGGGTTTTTGATGTAATTGTACATTTAAAAGTTTGCAAAAGATAGTTAAAAAAGCAAAAATATGGAAAAAAAATATTTCTTAAAAAAAATAAAGTATCTTAAACAATATTCGTACAAAACAATATTTTACAACAATTTTTTCGCAATAACAATATCCCAGGTGACTATTCCCAGGTAAATATGAAAGATCGAAGCATATAAGAATGAAGCGAGACACAAAGTTATGTAAAAAAAACTTTATGTTCAACATGTACAGTTTTTCGAGAAAAATAATCAGAATTACGTATTGTCAGTAATTTTAAAGTTATCCTCAGATAGAAGTTTCCACCACATCATGGTTGTGACAAGTCACTGACCATCGCCGTCTCCGCTTTCCCCTTTCTGATTTATTCCAACTGCACATGTTGTTTTCCCTTCGTAAAATTTAACCGGTACATTAGAAAATGCAAATTACGAGTTATCAAAGTTACTTTTATGCAGCTTGGACCAGAAGAGAGTTCATCGAACGAGACGCGCATGCTTCGTAATAGAAAAACGCGTAAACCTGATATTGTGATCGGGACAGTGAAGATAGAGCAGGCGGTGACGTTATATCGTTGGAGATGGTTGATCGGAAACAAGCAAAGACGCTAAACACGCTCGCTGCCAACGTAACAAAGCAGAACGAATTGCATATTTCGGATTTTTATTACGCCGTTCAGATAAGCGTTTGTCTACTGAAACCATTTGGTGCTTGGCCGCTGGCCAATGATGAAACGTCAAGATTCAAGATCGTCCTGCACAGGGCATCGATGGTGATCGCCACGTTCCTCTTGATCTTCATCATAGTGCCGATGATGTTACACATGATGAAAGAAAAGGACGTCTTCCTAATAATTCATTTAATGTGTGAGTTACTCTTCACTCTAATGGCTTTCGCGAAATATGTTTTGCTGCTCTGGCATCAGGATCGGCTCAGGTTCTGCATTGATCACGTAGCCGATGACTGGCGGTACGCGATAATTACCGAGGATCGCGATATCATGTTGGCGAACGCTAGAGTCGGTCGCACCTTTGGTATCACTTCCGTGGTTTTTATGTTCAGCTGCGGCACTCTGTACTACTTACAACCTATAGTCACACCGAACTTAGTCAATGAAGACAACGTTACAGTAAGATTGCATCCATCGGTCTGCGAGTTTCTTGTGTTTGATTCTAAGGTAAAACTTTCAATTCAACTTGCAGGCTAAGTTGGCAGTGCTGATTTAGTTAATCCTGATCAGTGTTTTTTCGTTTAAAGATTCTTTATACGTTTATCATCTTTAGGTATTGTCTCTTTTTTTATAACATGCATTTAAGTTTCAATTATACATATATTTAGATATTAGATCGACACGTATAAATTAATTTATCGTCGAACAGGTTAGTCCTGTATACGAGATCGTGTACTTTTTACAACTTTTGTCCGGTTTCACTGCCTACGGTGCATTTTGCGGTATTTGCAGCTTGATGGCTAATTTTGTTGCACATGTATGCGGTCAGTGTGACGTGTTAATGTCACTTTTAGAGGAGCTGGTAGACGGTGGTAAACGCAATAGCGGGTCCATCGATGATCGAATTGCTATTGTAATAACCCGACATTTGCATCTACTAAGGTAATTTCAAATACTTATACACGGAAAGAACGATTTTGTAGTGTCTACAAAAATTTAACTAGATAATTTGAAAATACAATAAAAAATATAGACAATAAGAGCATATACACGGCGCAGATGTCTTGACAATCATCATAAGTCATAAGATGATTGTTAAGACATTTACGATAGTATTTATGGATTCGCTGATAATGGTTTGAAGGAAATCAAAACGTACGAATAATATGGTAGAGATAATTATTGTACATTTATATCCTATGTAGACATTTTTTATTAATTATATAGTAATTGGCGTACCAATATCCACGCTGTTATATGCTCTTATTGTTCATATTTTTTATTGTATTTTTTTAATTTTGAGAGCCTGATTAATATTTATAATTTAGTAATTTGAAAATAATCTTGTTGAAACATTAAAATATTTATGTAGAATGCTTAAATTGGTTGAAAATTTTTTGCATCAGCATTGTAATGCTTGAGATTTTTACGTAATTATTTTGATGGACCAATAAAATTATTTTCAGATTTGTATCCAGTTCAATTTTTAGATAGGTACTTTAACAAAATCATTTTTTCTGTGTAGTACCTTTATTACAACAATTGCATTTGATAGTAATTATATATAATATTAAATAAAATAAATTAATTAATAAATAAATTATCCAGAAATTAATATATTGGTAATGGATAAATTGTAATAAAACTTTTCGAAATTTTATTAGATATAATTTTCTAGATTCGTGTCTCAAGTAAGGAGCTTATTTACCGAGATATGTCTCGTGGAGTTCATGAATGCTTCATGTAACATATGTCTAATGGGCTATATCATTATAACCGTATGTTCGATTTTGGTTCCAATTCTTATGAAGACTTCAAAACAATGTTAAACAAATGTTGATACCTCGCAATCGCAGCGATTGTTAATCTCTTCCCAAATTTCAGGATATGAATAATAATGAATCGTTCGTGCAGATTTTTATGTATTTCTTTGGACTTGTGTCGGTCATTTTCAACGTGTTCATGTTTTGCTACATTGGAGACTTACTCAAAGAGCGTTGCCAGCAGATAGGAACTATTTGCTACACAATCGAGTGGTATCGAATGCCATCCAGGAAGGCAATTGATTTGTTAATGCCGATCGCAATGTCTCGATACCCTGCGACTCTCACCGCCGGAAAAATGTTGACAATGACACTTACCACGTTTTCTGACGTGAGTAATATCGTTTCGTGCTCTAAATGCGATGTGTCAATTAAGACTGCTTAAATGAAAACGTGCTCGTAACAATGTGTTTCATACATGTTACATCTATTACTTACTTAGAGATTGGATTTAATTGGTGTTAAGTGTTATGATTTTATCAGTAAGTTTTAATAAATCCAAATAAAATATGTATCTCTTAAAATGTTCTAATCTCTATACTGACAATGAAAATAGAATACTGTATCGTAGATCTTAAAGACGTCAATGGCGTATTTCAATTTACTTCGTGAATTTTCCTCGCGAGACTGAGAACGTAAGACATGGCGTGATGAGACCACATTCGATAGGGACCGAAAGGGGTACCATGCTTAGGATTTTAGTATGGCAGAGAATTACATTAATAGTTTGACAAATAATGCACATGTTAGTATGACACTTACACACAATGGAATAAATTATTTCTCTTTAAAATAATATGTTATAAAGTTATTGTAAAAATAAGATATACAAAATAAAAGTAAGACAACGAAGTATATATTGACGCCTGAACCGTAGAAGGTGCTATATCGAGAAAAACATGAAGAAAGGTCTATGTCAAAAAAGTGATGAAAAGCAGTCTATCTCGCGCGAGACGTGAAAACCGGTCTATGTCGGAACACATGAGAAGTACGGTTTATATTGAGAAAAGCAAGAAGAACGGTTTATTAGTCGCATGACTTTGAAGAAGGGTTTATTAAGATTTATATCGCGCTATGTTTCCTTCTCATAAATTTTGTAGTGGTATGACTGAGGACAGATAACTAAATTTGTGTAATTTCTAAATATAAAACATTTTTTTATTTCTAAATATGTAGCATTTTTTAACAGAAAATAAAAATTATACATTGTTCTTTTCGTGTTAGATAAATAAATGTGTAACATTGTTGAGTTTTTACATCTGAATAATTTAAATTATGTGACATGTGATAAGAGTTTGGATTTACAAACCAGTAATATTTTAATTATATTAATTAATAATTACGCTGATTTAACTTAACAAGAATTAGCTTAACAACGAAGATTTTTAAGATTTAATTTACGCTTGCATACCACTACAAAATTTATGAGAAGGTAATATAGCGCTATATAAATCCCCTGATAAACCCTCCTTCAAAGTCATGCGACATAAACTTCTTCTTGCTTTTCTCGATATAAACCGTACTTCGTATGTGTTCCGACATAGACCGGTCTTCACGAATCTCGCGAGATAAACCGCTTTTCATTACTTTTTTGACATAGATCCTTCTTCATGTTTTTCTCGATATAGCACCTTCTATGGCTCAGGCGCTGATATGCTCACAGTAGTGTTGTGTTTCAAAAATCGGAGTATTATTATACGTGTATAATGTAAGTGTTGACCTGGCCGACGAAGATAGAATAAAAGTTTTATTTACTATGTTGCTCGACGAAGACCAAGTCCTTTACTACTTTGAAAAATAAACGCTCTCGTGGTTCAAGTTACAAAGTCAAAGTTTCCACTGCATACGTACTACCACACGAACGCGTTGAGAAACCACATTATGTGCAAAATCAATCGTTAAACTTCTTTTCGTTCACTGTCTTGCAACCCTTACAAGTGGCCCCTTAATTTTTAAAACACGCAGGCGCAAGTCGTCCGAGAGTTTACATCATACCTGGTATGCACAAAGTGATCAGTAACATTAAATCCTACGTAAACCTGAAGTTGAACATATATATCTCAATTTTTAGCATCAACAATTAATTTAAAACATTTCGATTCTCTACATTCATTTTCTTCGCCGCGATTGTAGAATTTTCGATCGTTTTGACATTATCAAAATTATTTTTAATTAAAAAAGTTATATCGTGCATAATACCGCTAGGATGATTCCTAATGAATATCAAGAGACAGACGTGAAATACGTTTTCGAACAAAGTCACGTTGTACTTCGCATGCTCGGGATTTGGCCGTCGATTGACAGACAGCCAAACATAATCGAGAAGATTATAAATATTTTTCTCATAATCGTTTGTTATCTGCTCCTCCATTGCGACATGGTACCGGGTATTATTTATTATGCAGTTGTCGATGATGAGCCGAGTGAGAAAATAAAAATGATGCCACCGATTCTGTACTCAGTCATGGCGATCGCCAAATACAGTACTTTACTTGTCCATGAATACGATATTAGAAGTTGCCTGCGGCACATCAAGGAAGACTGGGGAACAGTAGTCGTCGATGATGCGCGAGAAGTGATGCTAAGCAAAGCTAGTAATGGAAGACGATTGTTCACGTTGTGCTGCACGTTTATGTATTGCGGTGGATTGTCTTACAATACGATAGTGCCGCTGTCCAAAGGAAGTATTGTTATCGATGAGAATACCACGATTAGACCCTTCTCCTGCCCCGGTTATTATGTTTTCTTCGATCCGCAGAATAGTCCTGCCTACGAAATCGTGTTTCTTCAGCAAGTCCTTTGCGGTTTTGTCATGTACACGATCACGGTGGCGATTTGCGGTCTCGCCGCTGTCTTCGTGATGCATGCGTGCGCGCAGATGGAGATCCTCATGCGACAGATGGAGAACTTCGTCGATGAGAGCGAATTTGGACAACGTAATATTGGCGCAAAGCTAGCAGTTATAGTTGAACATCAAATAAGAATACAAAAGTAAGTATTTTGTTTATAATTTTTCTGAGTTTGAATAATTCTTTATCGGCATAAATCGGATATAGAATAAATATGCTCAAAGACCAGTAGGCCAGTATTTATATCCAGTCTTATTTGAAGACTATTTTAAGTAACGTCTTGCGATGCTAATACGGTTCTGTAATCGGTATTCATATATTCTTATATATCGCGCGCGCGTTTAAGACCATCTTAAATGTAGTCTTAAAATGTCATAAACTAATTACATCTCAAGACGAGCTTAAAATAATAACCGATTATGAATACCAACCAAAATATTATCCTCTAAATATCCATAGTTTTATAGTTACATTTGATATTAAATATTATCATTAATAATAAATTGTCGAAAAAATTTTATATAGTTATATATTTTCTAAAAAACAAATTGATATTTTTTTCGTTTCGAACTATACTGAATTGAGTGCTTCATAAATACATTATAGTTTCTTGCAACTGGTGGAGAATGTTTTGCGCTACAGTAGTTTAGTCGAAATAGTGGGGTGCACCACAATGATATGTCTTACCGGATATTGCATAATAGGGGTACGAAAAATAATGCAAGCAAATTTATTGTGTTTAAGCACAATGCGTGTCGTGAGTACAAATTAATTTTATTCTCAGGAATGGGATAATAGAAATTTACCGGCCTTCTGTACGTACGTAACAGCTCTTACGTCTGTCATTATTAACATTTTTATTTTATGTTATATCGGAGAGTATATAACGGCGCAGGTAATTATTTTATATCTTTTAAGATGAGTAATACCATTTTATGATAAAAACTTACATTTACTACTTTTTATATATGAGGTATAGACCGAAGAAGTGGGCTTGATTACTTGCACGCTCGACTGGTACCGTCTTCCGACAAACGTGGCGCGAGATATGATATTAGTGATAATCTCTTCGAATATTTCACCACGAATTACTGCTGGAAAATTCATCGAACTATCCTTCAAAACATTCGGTGATGTAAGTAATATACAATAATTATCTATGATTAAGAGTTAGTTATCAGTTTGGATTTAAGAAATTGTTTCAGGTAATTAAATCGGCTGTAATTTATCTTAACATACTTCGACAACTTACCGAATAAATGGCAAACTGGGATTGGCAATAAATTTCTTTATAAAATAAACATATCCATATTATATATTTTAATATGAAAAAGATTTATTCTTATTATCAATGTTAATGGCAGTAAGTAGTATTAATTATAAAAAAATAATTGAATATTTAAGTGCGTATAATATCATTATAACTTATATATGTGGTTACAAATTTCCTACAGATATTTACTCTTACATGAGAAATATATATTGAATATAACAAAATAAATAATTATTACTTATTGTTAGCACAGAAATACATAAAAAATGTTATAATACATCACGAACATTTATCTTTTTGCATTTCTATAATATCTCTTTATACATTTTTTACGGAAAATTGTAAAACTTACCGCACCGCTATTACAAGTAAACTTTTTTCTCGGATCTTCAACCCTTTCATAATTTCCGGGAAATCCTTTCTGCGCACAACAAAAATAGTCTTTTCAAAGTCTCTACGATGTTAGCGATTTGTTTGACGTGGCTTTGAAAGATTGTTTCAATACGCAAGCGCACGCGAGTCGCGAGTTCCCTCCAAATCGAACAGCGGATCAACCATGATCAGTGGCTAGTGAACGCGCATCGTTTCACCACTTGTGGCTTGTACACGGACTAATATGGAAAAGATATTCACCAACAAAAATTACAAACGCGATATAGATTACGTTTTCAAGCTTAGTGGCTTTGTCTTTCGTGTGCTGGGTGTCTGGCCGTACGCGCGTACAAAGTCCTGGCTTCCGAAGATCCTCGAGAAAGTCGCGGTGATCCTCGTCTCCTACATCCTCCTCACTTATGAGTTGGTCCCGGCGTTTCTCTATATGGCCATCGTGCAAAGAGAGACCCGTGACAGGCTGAAAGTCGTCGCCACCGTAATATTTATGATGTTAGCAATGGCTAAGTACGGCCAATTGCTAACCAAAAGGAACCAAGTGAGAAACTGCCTCGCGCAGATTGAGGACGATTGGCAAATAGTCAACTCACATTATCATGATGTGATGATCGATAAGGCTAGAACAGGCAGACGTTTGCTGATAATATGCTCCATATTCATGTATTCCATTGGGGTGTCCTTTCGAACAATTATACCGTTATCTGCCGGAAAGATCGTCACTGAACAGAATTTTACGATCAGACATCTACCGTGCCCGGCTTACTTTGTTCTATTCGACGTGCAGCTTAGGCCCGCTTATGAGATAGTATTCCTTATGCCGTATTCTTCTCCGGATTCGTGAAATGCACGGTAGTGATATGCGGCCTTGCGGGTCTTTTCGTGATGCACACTTGTGCACAGCTGGATATACTGATAGTCCTGATGAATAATCTGGTAAATAAATGTGAACTAAAAAATGTGAACGAAAGATTGGCCACTATTGTAAAGCATCAGATCAAAACGCGAAAGTAAGACTAATTTTACAAGTATTTTTAACGAATCTGTTTGTTAGTATTTTAATGTTTTAATTGAAATCTATGTGTAAAATAGACGTTGGGATTAATTCATATACGATGAATTGTTCAATAAATAAGATTCTTTAAAAATGTACTTAATTATTGATTATATTGAATATATATATTGATTATATTCGTTTTTATTTTTGTGTAAAAATATATAGAATCTTATTTTTTGTACAATTAACATATTTCTTGTTTTAATTATAAGCAAATTTTTGAAAAACATTTATTTTTACAAACATTTTTTTTTCTACGATTATTTTAGTTTCCTTCAATTAATGCAGAACACCATACAATATACAAGTCTAATGGAAATTATGGGATGCACTATAATTGTATGTTTCTTAGGATATTTTGTTATCATAGTGCGCATAAAATAAATATGTAGCGACAATAATTTCAGTGATTTTGAAAGAGTATTAAGGATATGTAAAATATATAAACGCACAAACTTAGCAAGTATCACAAAAATAAATATAATTGTAATTTACAGGAATGAGAGGATAACAATGCCGTAGCTCTATGTATGTATCTCGTTGGACTCACATCGATCAGTTTCAACATTTTTATTTTTTGCTTTATCGGTGAACAACTTTCGACGAAGATATGCTATTACATTATCGAAGTAATAATAATTAGCATTCACCAATTAATGCGAGCATCATTTTTTTTTATTAATAATCTACTTTGTATAATTGATTAAATTAGGGAGAAAAAGTGGCATTAACAGCATGCACATTGGAGTGGTATCGTCTTCCGGATGCAAAAGCGCGATCGCTGATGTTAATCATGTTCGTGTCGAATTTTCCGACAAAGGTTAGAGCAGGAAAATATTTTAATCTTTCCTTCAGGACATTCGGCAATGTAAGTAATAATATGTTGAAAAATAAAAACCACATTTTTACAAAGATTCATTACATTTTAGATCGTTAAGACGGCCATAACGTATTTAAATCTTTTACGTTCTGTTGTTAGCTAAATTTGAATAGCCAGTAAATGCATAAACGTAGTCTTCAAAGAAATATGTAACTTTTAAATAAAAATAGCCAAGGCACATAATTCCTAAACAATAATTCCTTTACTGGTAGGAGAGACCGGGGCTAGTTGTTGTACGGAGTTGATTGTCAAAATGCTCAAACAGTACATGGCAGAAAAATCTCTTTCTTTAACTCTGTAGATTACTGATATAATATTAATTTGTTGTATAAAATTGTTTGCACCAAAAGCATAGTATATATTATTTATAAGAAAATGAAGTTTGTGAATAAATTTTTCTTATCGTCTATTTTGTTGTCTGAGAAGTCTTTGGTATTATTAATCGCAATATCCCTATATTCATAGAAAATGATATGTCTTAGAAAATCTTTACTACAATTAATTAATCATTAGCCTGACAAAGTTTGCGAATACAATTTCTTTTATTAAAAATAGCTGTGTGGGATAGATTAAACAAAATAAGGCGGAGTTAGGTAACAATCAATTTTAATGTCTTTACAATATATTTATGACCGTATATTTGAGAAACTCAATTAATATTAGGGTGTAACGGCCTATTACGGTTGGAGCTGGATCTTCGTTGCTTTAAAATACTAGAGTAGTTTTAATTGCGTTTATTTAGTCCGGAAAAAATTCTTTTAAAGCAACGAAGATCCAGCTCCAACCGTAATAGGCCGTTACACCCTAATATTAATTGAGTTTAATGTCTTTAGTTCGACACATTTTTAGAGATTATACTTACAAATATATTATATTTCATATTAGATATATATTGTTTTCATTTTTCATACAGAACAAAAACAAATTATGTATTTTATGATTAAAATAACTATTTTGTCTATATTAATACCATAATTACTATTATTTCTTGAAATATAAAACTAATATTAAAAATTATATTTTTTATATGTTCAGGGTGTTACAGATACATACTAGATAGTACGACGGATTGCGCGGCAAACTTTGCATGGCCAAGCGTGGTTTAATAGACAATGACAGTGACTTTATACATTATAAAGTTTATACTACAAAGTTATATTATTTATATTATAAAGTTTATGTTATAAAGTCACTGTCATTGTCTATTAAACCACGCTTAGCCATGCAAAGTTTGCCGCGCAACCCGTCGTACTGCCTAGTATGTATCTGTAACACCCTGTACTATTCGTAAATAAAATATGCTATTGCCAATCTTAGAACGTGACAATCAATCCAGAACACGGGACTAATTGTCACATTTTCGCAGCTTTAAATTAAATAACTTATTTTTATGATGAATTTAAGAATAATATTTTTTTTAATATCTAAAGGATGTAGGTATATTATAATGTATGTAATATTTCCAAACCCTTTTTTCTAAAAATCGCTAAAAACTGTGACAACCGGCCCCGGTCTCCCCTAAGAGTTTTAAAAAGAAATAAAAGCCATAGAAAAGTTATAATACGTACTAATGTTTCATATACAAACGTATAAACTTTTACTCACTATCATTGAAGCTTCGAGGAACGCAAGTTGTAACATCAGCAGAATCAAACGTAATTATTTTTCAAAGAATCAGAAAACTTAACCGATGTGCATAACGAAATATCTTTCATGGAAACCATTTACCGTTTTCATTTTCTGTTTCTCACGCACTACAAGTTTAGCAAGTTTATTATTTTGCCCCAAGTAGTTATCGTAGAATATAACGCAAGAATGTAAATATAATTTTAGTTTTATTAAATTTATTGATGTTGTCAGGATCGTAATATCAGAAATATGATGACACTATCATGGCACTAAAACAATGTTATTATACGTTGATCTCTGATTAAACTAAAGTATTCTGTACTATGTAGTAGAAACTATTATTGCTAGCGGTCAACGTCCAAAGCAGCATAAGTTTTAGTACAGGAAGAAAAATTGAAATCATCAAATCGATTATTCTTAGTTTGAAAACAAATGTACACGCTGACGAATGAAAAAACTATTCGTGGAAAGCAATCTCGACCCTCGGTAAGTTGACTTGGAAACTCTCTTGCTTTCAAACCCTCTCTTTCAAGCTACATATTAATGTTTAAGGTGCGCAAGCGCAAACGAACAACGAATTTACTGTATAGTTTTTATTTTCTGCAATCAGTTGCCATTCAGTTTGCATAAAGATTTCATACAGGCTCGACAAAAGAATGCTGCACAACGAGCATTACAAAGATGATATGATTTACATCACACAATTGACACGAAATGTTTTGAGCCTACTTGGGGTTTGGCCGAATTACAACAGAAGAAGAACTATTGGCGAAAAAATTTGGAAGTACTTCCTAATCTCGGTCTCTTACATTCTTCTTTATTGCGTCCTGATTCCCGGTGCCTTATTTTGGATGATTGAGAAGAGAACGCGAGTCAGAGTCCAAACGATCCCTTTACTTTTTTACGGTTTCATGGCCAGTGGTAAATATAGCAATTTGGTATTCCGTGAGAAAAATATCAAACGCTGCTTGAAACACATCGAACAGGATTGGAGAATCGTTACCAGTGCAGAGGGACGAGATATGATGATTGAATCCGCGAAGATAGGAAGACGCCTAGTCACACTTTGTGCAGTCTTCATGTACGGCAGCGGGCTTTCCTTTCGATCAATTCTGCCATTTGCCAAAGGAAAAATTGTCACTGCGCAAAATATTACGATCAAACCGCTGCCTTGTCCGGCTTACTTCTTTTCATTTGATATACAAGTCAGCCCCGCTTACGAGCTGATATTTGTAATGCAATTTTTATCCGGGATAGTTACCTATTCGATAACGATAGCTTTATGTGGCCTCGCAGCTGTTTTTGTGATGCACGCTTGTGGCCAACTAAGAATTTTAGTAGATTTGATGAGAAATCTCGTCGAGGATCAATGGCAAGAAAAACAAGAAGTGGATAAAAAACTAGCTAAAATGGTTGAACATCAAATACGAATTCGAAGGTAAGAATTATAAGTTTCAATTTTTATTAAACCCACGTTGTATACATCAGCGCTTATATAATAACTTATATAATAATTAATTATTCGTTAATCGGTAATTAAAATCATACTTGTGCGGAATATATTTAGTACTATTTTCTCATTTTTCGAATATGATGATTCGGTGCCGTCGACAGTTTTTTACAATTGGTAGAAAATACTTTACAACAAGCGTGTTTAATAGAATTGATGGGGTGCACGATGATAGTCTGTCTTTTGGGATATTTTATAATAATGGTTCGTAATTTTTTATATATATCTAAAAGTTTTAATAATAAAGTGAAAAAAAAGAATATTACCTGCAATAATGTAACTTTTATAGGAATGGGAAAATAGCAATTCAATAGCTATGTGCTCTTATGTTATAACACTTACATCTCTGATGATAAATATGTTCATGTTTTGTTATACTGGTGAACAACTTACCGTTCAGGTATAACTATTTATACCTTTTTGCTCGTGATGATTATATTATGCGATGCTATTATATACAACAATTACATGTAAATTAACAATATATAATAATGTTTCTGCTGTAATGCTAATAATGCTATTTGTTTATACAAACCAATATTTGAGAAGAAATTGTTGAAAATATTTTTGTAATAATTTATAAGCAATACATAATCCTTAAAATTCGCTCAATTTTTTGAATTGATAATACTTGATAACATTAATAATAGGCAGAAAGAGTGGCTAGTACATCTTGCGAACTCGAGTGGTATCGTCTTCCGGATAAGAAAGCGCGTGGGATCGTGCTGGTGATAATCATGTCGAATATGCCCACCAAGGTCACTGCTGGGAAAATCATGGATCTATCATTCAAAACATACGGTGATGTAAGAATATATATTTAAAAGCATTCGCTAATTTCTTTAGGAATCAGCAAAAATTCAACATTAACAATTAAATATGTTACGAAGTGATTGCTATTATCACTACATACTATAATAGTCAATCAAATACAATTTTTTTATTTAGTTTATCGAGTCAATTAAATAAAATCATGATAAAGCAATAACTATAAAATATTATGCTTATTTTTCAGGTCGTAAAGACAGCTGTAACGTATTTTAATATGCTTTTAAATGTAGCCGGTTAAATGTTTCGGCTCTATATTCTTTTCATTAAAATTACAGCTACGAATTATAATGGTAATATCGTATCGTGTATGATCGTGATATTGATGTGTCAAATACAAAAGTTTACTATAATGTACATATATCTATATAAATATCCTTGATTTAAATATATTTCTTCTATATATAAAAGTATACGTAAGAAATTTTTGTTTCACAATATATTTTACATTAAATTTTCATATAGAGCAATTTGATAATTAATTAACTTGAATTAATATTTTATTTCTGATAAATTTATATAGATCAAATGTACTTTCATTTCAAGATAAATAAGAACATCAAGTAGAAATTAAGAAGTAAAAATTATAAAATATAATTGCGCATTTGTATCAATTACATTTATCAATATTGCCTACGAAATTCTAATGCTGCTTTATACCCATTGATTTCTGTTTGCGATTGTAACTTGCGAGCAGGTCGAAAACTCATATCATACTTATAACGAAAAACTGTTAATCAAAGCTATTAATCACATAGGTTCGGTCTTTGAAACTACAATTTATGCTACATATCGCAACGATAATATCGTACTGAAACATGAGCAGACAAAAATACAAAAATTCGACACAGAGTAGACAAACATGTTTAAATGCATTTTGTATTTAAAATAAATAATCACAATGTTATGATGAGAGCAACAAAAAAATACTGTTTATTGTTTAACATAATGATCGCATGATGTGACCACAGTTATACTTCTACAAATACTCTGCCATGTCAAAAACGCGTTTTACTTATATACACTGCTATTATCTGTTTTCTTTACGATACTGCAACCTTTTCATTGTTTCCAATAGGACAACTTTCTTTACCTTACGAAGAAAAGCACAAATATGTTTGCACGCAGTCACTTTGAAAGTTTCTATACGTACATTATACATTCGCTAGATGTTGCTTTTTAGATGCAAGTTGTAACAGAGCCATTGATATAGTGAAACTGATTATTTTTTCAGAGAATCGGAAAACTTCATCGAGATATCAAAACGATTCAGTGCTTTTATTTTTAGCCTCTCATGCAATTACAAGAGTTTAATAAGTTTATTTTCTCGCACCAAATAGTTATCGTAGGATATAATAGGACAAAAAAATATAAATATTTTTTATCTTTATTTAATTCACTGACATTGTCACAATTATTACGTCAGAAAACTCACAATTGCTTTTATAAGTATTAATCTTTAAACAAATTGAAATATTACTGTACTACGTAATCAAAACTATTATTGGCGGTCAACGACCAACGGATGTTATCGTGAGTTTTAGATTTATATTACACAGGAAAAAAGTTGAAGCCAATTGTTATTCTTAGCTGCTTGAAAAAAATATACACTTTGACGAATGGAATTCATATTCTGGGAAAGCAATTCCAACCCTCGGTAAGCGAACTTAGAAAATCTGCTTTCGAATTCTATTCACGCAACCCTTTAATCTTTAATGCGCGCAAGCGTAAACGGACAACGAATTTACTTTATTGGCAGTTCGTATTTGCAGCGATCAGTCACTATCCAGTTTGCACAAAGATTTCACACAGGATCAACAAAAGAATGTTCCACAATAAGTATTATAAAGATGACATGATTTACATCACACATTTGACGCGAAACATTCTAAGCTTACTCGGAATTTGGCCGCCAAATAATAAAAAAGATCCTACCTGCGCGAAAGTCTGGAGATATTTCTTAATCTCGATCTGCAACATTCTTCTCTATTGTGTTTTGCTTCCTGGAATCTTTTTCTGGTTGATTGAAAAGAGAACACGCGTTAGAATCCAGACGATTCCTCTGCTTCTCTTCGTTGTGATGGCCTGTAGTAAGTATATCAATCTACTATTCCACGAAAAGAAAATCAGACGCTGCTTGGAGCACATCGAGGAAGATTATAAAGTTGTTACCAACGCCGAAGCGCGTGACACGATGATTACATCTGCGAAGATTGGAAGACGTCTGGTCTCACTTTGTGCGATTTTCATGTACAGCAGTGGACTTTCCTTTCGATTGATTTTGCCATTTGCCAGGGGAAAAGTCGTCACTCCACAAAACATCACGCTCAGACCACTACCTTGTCCGAGTAACTTCCTTTTCTTCGATGTGCAAGTCAGCCCCACTTATGAGCTGATCTTTGTAATACAAGTATTATCTGGGATAGTCACTTACTCGATAACAACAGGTTTATGTGGTCTTGCGACTCTCTTCGTGATGCACGCCTGTGGCCAGCTGAAGGTCCTCATAAATTTGATGACAAATCTCGTCGAGGAAAAGTTGCATGAAAAACGAGAACTGAACAGGAAGTTGGCAAGAATGGTTGAACATCAAATAAGATTTCGAAGGTAAGAGTTTAAGAGTTTTATTTTTTTAATAAAATTACTTACATTAAGTGAAAACGTTCATAATAATTTATTATTTGCTAATTGGTTAACATCATATACGTGCAGGGTGTAGGTAATTCAAATTTTAATTTCTTAAATATATTGATTCGGTGCCGTCGGCATTTCAGTTTTTTACAATTGATAGAAAATACTCTACATCAAGCGTGTCTAATAGAATTGATGGGATGCACGATGTTAATCTGCCTTCTAGGATATTTTATAATAATGGTTTGTAATATTTTTTTGTATATTCGGGAGTGTCAGTAACAAAGAGAAAGAAAGTTATATTTCCAACAATAAAATACAATTTATAGGAATGGGAGAATAGCAATCGGATTGCTATGTGCTCCTATTTTTCATCAATTACATCCATGATGATAAACGTGTTCATGTTTTGTTACACTGGTGAGCAACTTACCGTTCAGGTATGTTTGTCCATATTTTTTCCTTCCTTCTTTCCTTTTTTCTTATGGTATAGTATACAATAATATATAATAACTCTCTGTTACGCAAAATATTTGAAAAATTGTTATAAAAGTTTTTATAATATTTTTTAAACAATGTTTAAATTAACAAAAATTTTCTTATATGAACTTGATAATATTTATAAGGCAGAGGAAGTAGCTAGAAAATCTTGCGTACTCGAGTGGTATCGTCTTCCGAATAAAGACGCGCGGGGGATCGTGTTGATAATAATCATGTCAAACTTGCCCGCTAAGATTACATCTGGGAAGATCGTGGATTTATCACTCAAGACCTATGGCGACGTAAGCACATTTGTTCAAAAGCGTTCACTAATTTTTTCAGAAATTAATGACAATTACAACACAGCGGTCAATTACGTTATCCAAAAATTATTATCTATTGCCTAATAGACGCGAATCAAATACAACATTTTTTAGTCAGCCTATCACGTTAGTTAAATAAAATTGTGACGAAGTGATAAATAAATACGGGATATTGTGTTTATTGTTCAGGTTGTAAAGACAGCTGTGACGTATTTTAATATGCTTCTAAAGATGACCAACTGAATATTATGTTCTGCATTTCCTTCTTCTTATTGGAACCATAATCGTAATGATAATATTATATTGTATACGTTTATTATATATAAATAGGCCAAAACTTTGGTACAAATGTTTGGTATAGTGAATATATATATATATATATATATATATATATACACTAAAGTGTGAGTAATAAATTTCATTTCTCAGTACGATGAAACTAAATATTACATTTTTTCATAGAAACATATTTTCATACAAAGCATTTCGATAATTATTTCTTTTCTTTAGTTACTATTTTATCTTCTGTACAAATTTAAATAAATTATTCCTTTATTTCATTATAAGGCGAATGAGAGCATCGAATAGAAATTATGATATAATTAAAATTAATTTTACGTTTATCAATTACATATACATGAAACCAATGATGTTTTATTGTACCAGTTAACTTTCGTGCACGATTGTAACTCGCGAGCAAAAGCATAACCTGACGTATCGCAAACTAATACACATCAATTGTCAGTCAATGGTCTTCGAAACTATAATTTAAACTTACTTCACAATGTATTGTGCAAAAAGAACAAAAAATCGATGCAATATGCATAATACATACGGCGTACTATTATTTTAAATTTATCCTTATTTAATTTTAATTCGTGTGTGTGTGTGTGTGTGTGTGTGTGTGTGTGTGTGGTGTTGCACAAATTTTTTTTTCCTAAAGTTTCAAGCAGCATTTCAACATTGTATAAGCTAGAAATGAATTATACAATAAGTAATCTCTCTTTGCTTCGAAACCATTACTGCACTTGGAAATCCATCTTACACAGCATTAAAATCTCCGGCACGTGATCAAATATTCCTACAGAGCACAATAACTTTATTATTTAAATGCACATACTTTAATCGATGAAATAATAACGATGATAGAAATAACAGAGTACTGTTTATTGTTTAAGATACAGTGATAAATGCAGTTTCTTTTCCACAGATATTCTACCAACTAATAAATCGTGTTTTGCTTATACAGTTGCTATTATTAGCAAGTTTTCTTTACAAAACGTCAACCTTTTCATTGATTTCAATAGAACAACTTTCAGTTTCTTACGATGAGGGAAAATAGCAAATAAGTTTGCGTGAAACATTTAAAAAGTTTCTACGCATACATCATACACCCGCTAGATGTGACTTTTCATTTGCAAATTGTAACAGAAACAGTTAAAAACGATTATTTTCCAGACAAACAAAAAACTTCATCGGCATATTAAACAACATAGTGATTTTATTTTTAGCCTCTCGCACAATTACAAGTTATCGTAGAATATAATAAGATACTGAAAAAGTATAAGTAATTTTCATTTTTATTCTATCAACTTAATATCTTTCTAAGATGGTTGATGTATTGATATTTTTCTTACGGCATCTTTTGAAACTTAATCAATATCTTTTTACTAAATGCCCATCTTTAGGACATTAATGTTGTTAAAACTATCGATAATATCATGATTGTTATCACATATATTAATCTTTATGCAAATTGAAATATTTTGATGTATATTGTAATGTAAGCAACCTATTAAGGCATATT